AGCAAGTCATGGCTTGGATCTGGATGGAAAAAAGGCAACAAAACCTGGAGTGGTAAGGTGATAGTGAAATTTGATAAATTTCAAGCAACCACTGTCCTTTGTCAGTCCATATATTTATTTTCCATGCTTTGAGGATGTCTTTGTATTCTATTATGTTTGCATGCTACCTGCTTGGATACGTGTAGAAAACCCAGTTTTTGCCATATAGAGAAACTAGAATAGGATTCAGGAGACCTGAGACTCCCTGTTCTCACAGTGATCTGATATAGTCACTGATGACTTACCTACTTACTTTGTCTTTATTGAACTTCATCACTATTTCCTTAAAATCTAAGATGTTTCGATTAATTTTACTCTTCATTTGGGCACTTTCTGAATATTTAATCTTACTATTAATTGCTTTTTAAATTTTATAACACTCCTCCCCTTCAGCTTCCTTGACATGCAGAGTGTTCATCATGCAGATATCTCTTGAACAAATAATCAAAAAAGTTACCCTTCTTTCCTACTTACACCATCTGACCATAACCACTTTGCATGCTCAGAGAATACTGTCTGCTTTTGCTAATTCATTGAACCACTTTTGTTACTATTAACTTAAATGATGAAAATTTATCACCATTATTGAGCCAAATGACCCCAGACCTCCTACACTCTTTAAAAAAATACTGTGTGTTTTATTCACTGTAAATATCAAGGCTTTAGAAATCCTTTCTGTTTAAAGAAATGGGCTTAAAGTATGCAGAGAGAATAGAATGGAATTTTAGTTGGAAATACTCATAAGTCTACAATAAGACACATTAAAGGAACTAAGCAGTTCTAGCTTCTTACTTGACCAGATTGCAGGAAATGGGCAAATAGCCAAGATAAAGCTTTCTTGGGGCATTTACAAAAAAGACACAGCAAGCTGAGGGCTTTAGTTCTTCTTTGGGAAACAGTCACTTGGAGAATGAACAGACAAATGATGGCATTTGAAAGAGCTTGAGGGAGGCAACTACTTCATTATGCATACTGGGATTAGAGCTTGTTTTAAGCAATACCTAAAATAAGAGAAAGGTGCTGACTTTCAGAAGTAAAGAATAGAGATGTGTGCAATAACTATGTGTAAATTCACACAGACAAGCTGAAGTTAATAGAAAGTCCATCATTTAAGTGGCATTCAATAAGATCTATGGAATCATGTAATCAGTTACCAGATAAAGACCCTAATAAGCAGTAACACTGAAGCTAAGAACAGTTACTAGACCTTCACGATGCAGAAGATTTGCTGTGCCTCTCGTTATGTGAAAACATTTTCATTACACATCTAGCTTTAATACTACTACTTACACATGGCTATACTAGAATTTTCAGAAACGCTACTTAACAGGTCTTGGGAAGATGCCTTTTTCACAGTTGAATTATTTTTTTTTTTGTATAGTTTCTCTCCAGTAATATGCAACCAGCTCTTTTTCCTGTCTTGTGAGTGATGCACAAATTTAAATAAAATAAAATAAATAAAATTTAAATAAAGAGCCCTCTCTCTAAGTGTTACTTGAGCCACTTTATCATAGCAGCCATATAATGAATATGAATGTTTTCCAAAGGAATTTGAGATGCATATTCTTCTCCTCTTGTAAGAAAGTTGCTTCCAAAAAAAGAGGAGTCCTGACTTCCTGACTCCCTACTTCAAGGATTCAGTGTATTTTATTTAAATTTCTACTGCATATCTTGGAGTAGGGACTGCAACTCAGTTCTCCTCAGTCTGGCTGACTTAATCCCAAAGCTACTGATCCATCTCTTCTCATGGAGAAGTGCAGAGTGTCTGTCACACTGGCCCAGCTCAAGGCAGTCTTCAGTGCAACCTTCACTCCTCAGGCTTTCCTGATTCCCTCCTCAGTGCTTCCTGATTCACTCTGTTTTACTATAAAGCTTGCAAATTTTTAGCTAAACTCTTCAACAGCTGTTACAGATGTAATTCCGAGGTACCTATTTCCCCCCATATATTAATGTAAAAAGAACACAGCATTTTGGATTTTAATCCGAAACTAACTGCCTAGAAATTGGGGAAAGAGGATCCTAGGCAGAACATGAACTTCTTCACAATTTGTTAAATCAAAACTACTCAGAATGAAGCCTGTATAAGCCTGCCTGCATGGTTCTGTACCCAGCCCTCTACAGGCAAGCCCAAGAAGCTCACCAGCTTCCAGTACCAGATTCCAGAAAGGCATATCTAGCTGGGACTGCACTGCAGCCTAATAATGCCACACAACAACTGCTGTTCCCAATCTGATAATTGCAATAACAATGTAACAGCTGGATTGTTCACAGGCCATTTACAAACCAAGTGCTCCAATACATTGCTGGACTTTAATTTTCTGATTCTTGATTTCCTGCCATCATTTTCTGCATTCAGCTGCAACTCAACATGTAGTTACCAAGTAATACTGAGATGTGATTGTCATTAATATTACAATGATAACCATATAATCAAAGACTGACACGGGAATACAGTTCTAAGAGAAAGAGGGAGGTAAATTCATATTCAGGTTTCCCCCACGACATTTCTTCACTTTATAAAGCAGAACTTTGACTTACTATTGTTTGAAGACTTAAAAATTACCCTAACTTCTCTGCTATAAGAGAAGTTTCTTAGATAAACCTATAATTAAAGTGTAAAAGAAAAAAAAAAAAAGATTTAAGCATGTCAGCCTCATTGCTGAAACTGAAAACACTTCATGGAATGATGTGTCAAGTTAAAAGATAATTTACTCTCACTACAGGTAATTCACAAATGCTTTAAAGAACATTGAAATACATGTTTTTAAAATTCTCAGCATTTAAGATTTTCCTACAATCTTAATCACAATCACAAGAATGGCAAGACAAGTTGGAGGAGTTCCAAAGGATGCTCATTGTTAACCACCAAGGACCTGACAAACCATTTACGAAACTTTCACCTTATTAAGAAAGGTCTGTCCATCTTAAAACCCAAAAGTATTTGCAAGTATGTATTTCAACTGTGTTGTCTGCAACCATTCTACAATAGCCTCTCATAAAGGAAAATAGGAATTAATAAGATTTCAAAAAAAAAAAAAAAGAAACCACAGTGAGTTTGAAATTAGAACAAAAAAAAATCTATTAAAAACAGAATAGTAAGCCTTTAGCTTTTGCTAAGTTTCAGTGTACAAACCAAAATCCCCAGAGCTCTTCCTCGTTTTTGACTGCCTTACAAACCTTGTGTCTTCCCTTATTCAGTACACCTGCTATTTTTGCTGGATGTCACTATCTGTGACAATTTTGTCTGATCTAGAAAGACAATGTAATGGTAAGCAGGAATGTAGATAAAGCAGGTGCTTAAACCAGAGGGATCCATTTTGTTCTATGGGAAGTGTTCTGAAGCAGAACTGTTCTGATTTGAGTGTGCCTTGGTATAAGCCTTTAACAGATATCACAAGAGGTACTCAGAGTTCTGAATCTTTATTAAAAAAAAAAAAATCAGTCTGCTAAAAACCACAATATAGGTATTTGCTCAGACATTTTTCATATATTCACAAGTTAGTGGGACTCCTATTAATCCACACCTAAGCATAACAACAAAGCACATTATGAAAGACAGGAGTCAGTATAAACAGCTTTTACCTCTGATCCAGAGAGCCTCTGAAGGGAATTCTCTACATACACACTTCCTCACACAACTGTTTAGCTTTATATTCATACTCAGATAAAGATATGACTGTACCAAATCAAAAAGAGAAACTTTCAGAGTCGGACTTGACACTTCACTTCTCCCGGTCTTATTTTGACTGGCAGTATGAGCCCTCCGAGTGCTGAGTGGATGGATCATCACTGGGAGGCAGGGGCAGCGGTGGTGTGTACTGATGCTGGGAGACAAAGTAATCCACAAGATGTTTCCTAGTTGTGGCAACTTCTTCTTCGAAAGAGTTTATTACACGTCTGCCGATTTTGCGCTTAAAGCAAAGCAAAAGATTGAGACTTTCAACTGAGCAATTTAACTGTCCAGTTCAACTAGATTCAAATCTTAGATCCTCAAAACCTCTCACAGTCTAGCTCAGAAGTCTGCTTTTGTCTGTGGCTGTTGGAATGGTGCAGAGGAGTTTGGCAGATGTGTCATATGCACCCCCCCCCATTTGATTCAGAAACTCCTCCACCAGCCTTGCCAGTAAAGCTCAGTTCAGTGACCACTTCTGGCTATGTATAGTGTACCTTTTCCTTTTAAAGTAAAATGTGACCCTACTGTTTAGCTGTATTTTTACATCATATCAGGGAGGGAGACTTAACTTTGATCTTCTGTGTGAAGAGGCATGACCTCACTCCTCAGGATACATTAGCATATCAGTGCTCCAAGTTATTGGTGCCAGGATTCTAGGGCACAAAGTTTCCCACTTAAAGCTGCCACTTCAAGTTTTCTATATATTCTACTTAGAAACAAAGTAATATTATGACCAAGAGCCTTTTTGTACCTTGAAACACTGCTCCAAATAATCGTTCACAGTTCAGGCTGAATAACAGTGTCTCACTCTTAGCCCACCTTTTAAGCTATCAGTCCACTTCCACTGCACCATGTGATCCTATTCTTATCTATTTTAATCTGTTGCATAAGCACCTTCCATACTTAACCTCAGCAGTCACCAGGTATATATTTAATACACTGAACTATTAGCAAAGCAAAGACCTTATTTGTGCAAACCCACCAAGAAGTAAGATGCAGAACCCACACTGCACCTCATCAGGGAGCTTGGGTCACGTCATTCTTAATATCCATAGGACTAGGGCTCACATATCGAAGATCAGCTGGTCTTGATTAACAGAGCAGCTGAGTTCTGTGTGCTTTTTTACATGCCAGCACTGTGGCATGAAACCCCAGAAGCAAGAAGGAGTAAAATGGGTTAACTGTAAAACATTTGAGATGGGCTTTAAAGTTTGAGAGATTAATTAGTCTGATTTATATGTAAAACTAGACATTTGAAGCAATGATCTGATCAAATTTTGTCTTTCCACATGTGTTGTTCATCCCTCCTGGAGATGATAGAGCCACTCACTGTTGAGCTTTCTGGATTGATTATTGCACCCAATATATTTTTTTCTGCTGTAACAAGTTGCTGGAAAAACATTTCTAAAGGAAACAGGTTTGCATCCAAAAGCCAGACACTAGAATACACTGAGAAGTGTTTGGGTGCAGATTTCTCAGCCAGTAGAGCATGTGAATCATTACCTCAGTAAAAGTCATGTTTTAACCTTACACCATCACTCCTGGCTGATGCTTAGGGATAGAAGTTCTTGCTTACATTCTTGCTCTGAATCTTATATGAAGATTATTTGATTAACACTTACAATGAATGTTCTCAGCCGTGTCATCTCCAGCATGTAGTACTCCTCCATTGTCAGGTCTTCGAAGTTCTTAGGAAGAGATAAAAACTCACAGACATGACGTTTGCTGTGTTCCTCCCTGCAAAATAAACCCAGAGTAAGAACATATATTAAACCCATAAAAGTGACATATCAGGAGATAAAGAAATCTGAAGTGACAGGTCTCTTCAGTACTTCTACTGTCTATCAGGAGAAAAGGTATCATACAGAAAACACAAGAAATAGATCGAGTGGATCTCAGATAAAAGCTAGTTGAACTATTTCAAGGTTACTCAGTAAGATAGTTCACAAAACTGAAGCCTACTGGAAGTTGTCATAGAAGAAACTAGTAACTTTATAATGACTAAGGGAAGGTTGTCAAAGAACTTTGGAGAAATACTTCCAGAACATTGTTGCGTCTGTGCTTACCACGGGTTATCATTTTGTTCCCAGCCTTCCAGTTCTAACAAGCAAAAGAAACATTTGGCCACATCTGGTTCATTTACATCTGGACAGTGGATGAATCCCGCCTTTGCCATCTGCAAGGGACAGTTTAGAAGTTTAGAGCCTTATCCCCCACACTCGCTCGTGTTTACATGAGCAGACTTAAATCTGAAGAGCTTGCAAACAACACCTTTCCTCACAATGTCTATCAGCACAGATCAGGCTGAAAAAGAAATTTTAAGTGTGAGGACTGCAAGCAGGTAAATAAGGAATTAGTAAAGGAACAAGGAATAGGCTACAAGTAGTGAAAAGATTTCTGCATAGCTGTGGTATCTGCAGGCTACTGGAATAGCTTTGTTGTAGCAGGTAGCATCCAGTAAATGCCACAATACACAGGTATTTCTGTAGCAGTGCATGAGATCTGCCATACTTAGGACTTAAAAGAATATTTTCAGAGAAAAAATATCATGGACATAGAGAACCTTTATGCATAAATTATGTGAGTAAAATGCTGCATCTTGGAGTTCTGTTTTCAGGTCACTTTAGAATCCTGTCTGGTGAGAACACTAAAAATTAAGTTTCGGTTATCAAACCCCTGACATAAAGTATGACTCATCCGAGATCCAGCTTGAAAGTTTCACATGTGGGCCCACCTAGAAGTCAGGTAGATATTTTAATTTTTTTTTTTTAATTTTTTTAATGCTCAAGTCAAAGCCTGCAGGGACATAAACATTAAGTTTTCTGAAGTTTATATACTTTCCACTTTTGAATTTGAAGTAGCCATCATTCTGGTACCTCATCCTTTCTGCTGGATGTGTACTTTTCCAGTCTAATGTAGGCCGCTTTGCCATGAATAGAAATTTGCAATCAGAAAGACTACATAATACTAGAAATTAACTTTTCAGTGACAAGAACAACAACAACAAAAAAGTAAGTATATTAAGTTCTGCAGCTAGACTAGTAGACTGAACACAGAAAAGCCAGTCATCCTACTACAGTATTTCTGAGGAGCAAAGAGAGCCAAGTTGGAGTATTTAACTTTTCATCTTCATCAAGTTTATTGGGCTCTTCTTGAACATAAATATACTTAACAGCGACTTCACATTTAGGCACAGTATATAAAAAATAAGGCACAGGAAAAATAACCATTTTTCAGACTTACATTCTCCGGAGTGCACTTGCAGTTCTCTCGGAAAGGCCACTTTGTGAAGGTTTTTAAACGGTTCTCATACTCATACATCTCCTTAAAATCAGTTAAGAGCTTAGAAGCTGAACTGAGCTCTTTCAAGAGCGTCTCCATCTATTAACAGAACCGAGAGCCTCCCTCCTGCTCTCAGATTTAAGGCATTATTCTAATTGGTGACACATTGCACCTGTAAAGCAGGTTGAGTTCTTAAAGACAGCAAAAACACAGGTGAGTTTATGAGCAGGGCAATCAAGAGAAATGAAGCTGCTGGAACTTTTTCCCCCGTGTCACATTCTGTGTACTCAGTCACACTCTGTATTTTTTTGTCTGAAAGCA